AATTGCTTCCTGGGACACGCATGTTCGCTTGTATTGGCAATACTCCTAGAATATTACGGAACGGTATTATTCATGGTTCTGGAGATTACTGACTTACAGGGTAACATAGTCCTGAAAATAAGGCTGTGACGGTTCCCTAGTATTGTGCCCTTCTGGCACGGGCATCCAAGACCCGCTCGTTGGAGCCTGATTAGTGTCTAGGTACGCGTGTATTACACGTAAACTAGGCTTTCTTCTCGCCAGTTGGTGCGCCCGCGTCAATCCCTCGTCGTCTTATCGAATACGGCAGCTGTAGTGGGCTAACTAGCTGTCGCACTGGAAATTGAAATTCATTTAGAGTCCATGTGGGACACCGAGGAAGCACACTGACAGGACGGCCTTGGTTGAATTGAACGGAGTCTATCTCATATTAGTAGGATCATATTACCGACAACGACGACTGGAATGAGAAGAAGAAGACTCGATCGCTGGGACAATATGTTTATTCGCCTGACGTTTAGATATCCGTCGCGAATTCGTCATCAGAGATATGGGTAGCAGAAACATGGGCGGGTAGAGGAAAATGGAGTAAAACGAGACAGGTGTAGACGCCAAAGAGTAGAAGGTTACGCAAAACTCATTCGTGTGTACTGCTGCTAATTCGAGGCCTAGCAACGAGCTGCGTCATTATAGACAAATAAAGAGGTTGCCTAGGCGGACATTCGCGCGCGCGCGCCCGAGGACGCAAACCTTGCCGGACGATCAAGTGTGTTCACATTCTAAACGCATCATTCGTCAGGAATTGAGGGTCATTTAAAGCAACGTTTCCCAGGTGTACATTTAAGGATGGCAAAACAGCAAAATTTATTGGGTCCATTAATTTCGAGAGTGCTCATCAGTGGCTTCCTCTCGTTACGAAACTTGAATAACGTAATAGAAAATACAAAACTGAATTTATACAGAAAAATCGACACAAACAACAAGATCATAAGAAATGGCCAAGAGGCTAATCAATAACGTACGAAATTTAAAACGCTGCAGACAGCAAAAAACGGAGGAAAAGACGTTTAAGGTAAAAAAAAATTGGGCAAGAATGATTATATAGGCCGAAAAATCCCGTCGACTAATAATAAAAAACTACTTCATATGTTCGGTAGCTTGACTTTAAATTTTTTCGTTAAATTCCCCCAATTGGAGGACAAATATCCAGTTTCGTTAAATTCCGCCCACATAAGGTTAAATTTCCTTCGATTAGCATTCGTATTATACGCATTAAAGGTTTATATTCATTGAATTTAATTCAATTTAGCATATTGAAACAAACATAATCTTATTTAATTTAATATTTTTTGATCAATTCCGCTATAATTACATGTTAATATACGCTCACTAGAAAAACAAAATGTTTGACCACAAACTACTTTAAGCAGTTGGGAGGGGGAAAAGATATCTAGTGGGCCCTACAAATCATTTTTGCCAAAAATTGAGAAAGGAAATGTTTAAACGGAGCCAGTGTTACCAAGACAGAGTTAGGTTCACCACATGCTCCAGCTGTTTATATAGGTCGGGTTCGAACCGCCATATGAGGGCTGCCTCCAGGTAGCATAAGGTACGTGTTGTTCGTGCCCGAACAAGTACTCGGAAAGAAGTTATGGGGTCCACAGAATGGCCCGTGTCTAGCAGATGTTCAGTGATCGATGAACGGGAGTTCTATTTTCTTGTTTCAATAACCAGCTAGGTAAATGCTCCTTAGCTCTGGCGGCCATTTGCCGCTGCGTTCGCCCTAGGTACTTACATCCACAAGTGCACGTAAATTCGCAAACACAGTTTGAAGTGGCGTGCTACGGCAAGGCATCCTTCACACAAGGAATTGGTAGTGGTTTTGGTGGATTGCAAATTATGAGTTCTGCAGCATAATGGCGTTGAGAAGGCATCTCTTGATGGTATTCAAAATTTTATCGCCCTCATAGGGCAAGAAAATGAAAAAAAAGGCTTTTTGGTGCTAACTGCTCAGACATTTTAGGCCGTATGGGTTTACTATACTTGTCTATAAATTGAGTTGGATATCCCCGCTTCATTAAGGTATCTTTGAGGCTGGCTAATTCAGCAAGTTGCGTTTCCATTGAATGGGAACAAAACTCAGATAATGCAAGTACTGACCTTTCCAGGTATTCTTATGGAAGACCATCCGTGTAAAGGAGCCATCTTTCTCTCTGGACAAGTGAACGTCGAAGAAGGAAAGCTGATTCTCTTGTTCCTGTTCCATAGTTAATTTAATCTTAAGATACAGACTGTTCATTGCAGACAATAATCCTCCAGCTTCCCTTGCGTTGTCCACAATCTCTCGAAATTAATAGATTCAATAAATTTTGCTGTTTTGCATCTTTAAATTAAGAGTCAGCCAACTGACACTGTCAGAAGAAGTTTGGCGAACGCGTGTACAATAAAAAAAACTTAGATATTTTTGGTTCTGGGGGGTTCTTAATACGAAGTGGGTGAGCAATGAGTACGATCTGTTTAGTAAATAAGCATGTTGAATCAGGGTGACCAGTTTACAAACGAGTGGGTTCTTTTGTAAAGACACTGATCAGCCTAATACTTCGATAACACTTAGCAGAAGAGATTTATTTCACTTGCGTTAGCCATCTGCAACAGATGGTTGGAAACGAGGGACGACTAAGACAGCAATGCAAAATGCTACTATGCGACAGGTGGCTATGGTGGGTCAAAAAATGGCAATACATATGAATGGCCATTTTTGGAGATTTGTATAATGTGAATGTGGGGAAC